CGACTTAGAAAGTCATTGTGGCTTTCCAAATGTTTGGATTTCAAAATAAAATCCATAGATTTATCTCCTTACTCTATGGACAATGAGACTGCTACTAAACTACTCCAAGAAATTCTATTTCTGTATTCTGGATAAGCGTTCAACCACAGAATCCAAACTTGAGGAACTCAAATGTTTACATGATAAGTCCATTATCCTGTTTGTCAACCAGAAAATTCAAGCCTTAGGAGCGCAAATGTGTACATGATAAATCTTTAATCTCATTGCTTTAATCTCATGACACTATGTTTGTAGTTTGAAATTTTTTCCCTCTATTTCTCTCACAATTTCTGATGTTCTGTTAGAAGCCTGCTTCCCTTTCTTCTTTTGGTGTGGAGATGCCAGTGAGATACTATCAGCCTCTGTGCAAACAACCTGATTCCTCCCAGGCCTCAGGGAGTGGAAAAGTCATGCAAATGGCAAAAATTCCCAAGTGGCAGCCCTAGGGAAGGTCAAAGGAAATGTTCAGCTCTTCTACCACTGGAATGTTCTGGAACTTGCCTCTGACTTGACACTTCACATAGGAATCTAGCATTCTCTAGGCAAAGAAATCAGGGGGATTCACATCCATTTTCCTAAGGCAAGGTTTGGAGAGGTGATTCAGGAAAGCCTGACCCAAGCTGCAGACTGTGAGCAGTTTTGCCACTATGTGTGCATCCTGATGGCATCCACACCTCAGTAAAGTTGAGGCAGGATGCCATGTTTGGCTTTGGGCATCTCATCATCTTAGTCAGCTTCTCAGTTTAAGCTCTCACCCCTGTGCTGTGAAAGACTTTAAGAGTTTTAATGGTCCTTCTGTGTTTCCCACAGGGTGATTTGACACATCTAACAAATTGAGCTGCTTTTACAAATCAACAAGGCCTGCCAGTTTTTTCCTTCTACCCAAGGCTGCCAGGTGCCCCTGACAAGTGCCAGGAGATGGAATAAAGCAGATGGTGGGAAATACAAGTGCCCTCTGCACTCAGGAAAGTCAGAGAAGTGATGGCTCCACATAAACCTTGCTTCCTCGTTTTCCTTCATTCTTTCAGAGCAAAAATAAACTTAATACCCCTGAGGGACATTGAAACATACCTTTAAAAAATACATAGTTAGGCAGTTGCTAATGGAAGAATAGTAACCTAAAAATTTGTTGATTTTTAAGTCACATTTTCTATTGTAAAGCAAGTGCTGGGAAAATAGCCCTTTTACTCTTGTTCATTCTCTTCTTCCAAATGAAGGAACAAGAAAATACTAGAAGAACACACCTCTGATATCTATGGAGATTGAGCCTAATCAATAGTTTCAAAGACACAGAGGCTACTTTGTGCTTCTCACAGTAGCTCAGCAGTACAGCACTTGTCTCCTGTCTTAATTCGCTTAATGTTATCATCTCAAGGTGCATCCATTTTCCTACAAGTGACTCGAGTCTGTATTTCTTTATAGCAAAGTAATACTCCATTGTGTATAAATACCACATCTTCTTTATCCATTCATCTGTTTTTGGACAGATAAGCTCCTTCCAAGGTTTAGCTCTTTTAAATTGTACTGCGATAAACATGGGTACTCATGTATCATTGTAATACGATGTCTTTAATTCTTTCAGAAGATACCCAAAAAGAGCATAGCTTGGTCAAATAGAATTTCTACTTGTAGTTTTTTTTTAAGAATTTTCATATTGATTTTCATAGTAGTCGTACTAATCTCTATTCCCACCAACAACGTAGAAGTGCTCCTTTTTCCCTACAACCTCACCAGAATTCATTATGTGATTTCTTGGTGATGGCCATTCTTTTTGGGGTGAGATGGAACTTCAGTGTTGTTTTAATTTGCATTTCTCTAATGCCCAGCAATGTTGAACATTTCTTCGTGTATTTATTGGCCATTTGTACTTTTTCTTCTGTGAAGTTTTATTCATTTCACTTGCCTAATTTTTGATTGGGTCTTTAACTTTGGGTTGTCTAAATTTTTTTGAGTTCTTTATATATTCTAGATATGAGTCCTCTGTCTGAAGAGTAGCTGGCAAAAAATGTTTCCCATTCTATAGGTTGTCTTTTCATTCTGTTGATTTTTTTTTTTTACTGTGCCAAAAGGTTTTTTATATGATCCTATTTGTTGATTCCCAGTACTATTTCCTATGTAAGAGTTTTACCTATTTTATCTTCCAGCAGGTTCAGTGTTTCTGTTTTAACATTTAGTTCTTTGATCCATTTTGATTTTAGTTTAATACGTGGTGAGAAATATTGGTCTAGAGTCAATCTTCTTCATGTGGATAGCCAGTTTCCTCAACACGTTTAATCAAAGAGGCTATCTTTCCTCCAGTGCATGCTTTTGATTCCTTTATCAATTCATCATATCATATAAGTATTAACATAAGTTTATCTATTTCTTCCAAAGTTTTGGTAGGATTTTATTAGATAACACTAGCCCCTACACACACACCAAAAAAGTTAAATATTCTCTCATTCTCTATTTTTGAAACAGCTGATATAGGATTGGGATTATTTATTGTAATATTTGCTGGACCTCACCAGTGCTATGGAGTGAATGTTTTCCAAGACCAAAACTCATGCTGAAATTCACTTGCCTTTGCCTATGCCTATGACTTCAAGACTTTTACCTACTGAAGGTATTGATGGCATTTGGAGATGGATCTTCAAGAAGTGATTGGGACGTGGACATAAGCCTTATGAGTAAGTTTAAGACTTTTTAAAAGAGAACTTTCAGAAGTGAGTTCTCGTGCTTTGCCTTTAGGCCCTTTTGCCTTGTGAGGAAGAGCAATGTTCCTTCCCAGAGGATGAACACTCAAAGTACGACGTTAGAGATAGAGACAGGGCTCTGAGTAGACAGCAAACTGGTTGCATTGATTTTGGACTTCCCAATGTCCAGAAACAATAAACAAGAGGAAAAACACCTTAAAAACCCCTAAGAATATTTTCAAATGTAATAACCAATGAGCCTAGAAATTCAAGTATGCTTTAGCATTTAAGATATTTTAAAATTTTGCTTGATATGAACCTACATGAATTTATACATAACAGTTGCTATTTGGTAGAAGTAGAAGTGTTGAAGTACCTACAGTTATGTTCCTCTGCAAAATATCCCCAGTTGAAATGCTTCTGCTCAGCTTCAGAAGCTGGTTCCTTGGAATTTTTTCACTTAGAAATCTCTACTAAACCAGCATGGTGACATATGCCTGGGCTGAGGGACTGAGACAGGTGTATCACAAGTTGTGTCCCACCTGGGCAAATTAGCAAGACCCTGTGTCAAAATAAAAAAGGGCTGGAGATGTAGCTCAAAGAAAAGGCTCTGGGTTCAATCCCAAGAAACACCAGAAAAAATTCTTTACTTGCATGAATCTGAAGAATTTGGCCAATCAACTAATACAACTCAGTCCTGGGCACTGAGAAGGGTTGTTCTGTCACATATGAATAAATTAATTAAGACTGAACAAGAGTCTGATCAATCATGTACTGAAGATATGAGGGGAAAATGCTTATGGGAAGAAAGTAAAAACATGGAGACAAGGGCAAAACCAGGATATCTATTTAGTCATTTCATTATTATGCAAAATTATTATGCAGTTCTAATGATCAATGTGTCCCTGGAGCGTGTGGTTATGGTTATTTCCCTCAAATTCTGCTCAGTGGAAGCTCTTATACCTATCCTTTGAGTGGCCCTTTCTCAGGGTGGTACCAGGGCTCTGACAGGCCCAGGCCCTGTGAGCTCTAAGCCTCCTGCAGGTTGTGCCCCTCAGCCCTCTGAGGAGTAGCACTGCATCCACCCCACAGGCAGGCAAGTGGAAAGGGGGAAAGCAATATTCCCTGGCAGGAATGCTAGTGTGCTCACTGCCAAAACATGAATTCATGTCAATGAAAACTGGCATTTCTTGAAATTCCCAAGACAAAGGAAAAAGGGAAAGCCTCGCTCTATTTGCACAGAGAACGTGTTCAGTCCAGATGACGCTGATGTTCTTCCAAGTTTCAAGACCTGTGATTCTGAAACTTCATAGATTAACTACTTGTCACACTTCTTTGTATCAGTCCTGTCTCCTGCTTGTTATGCTGGAAGCAACAATGGACCATATTTTGATTTCCTAAGAAGCTGCTTTCCGAGAATCAATGGCTAAACAGAGAGATATTTGGTGGTGAGTTTACACCAGCGATGTGCTCTAAAACCACAATGGAATAGGGCACACAGGGAAACCCCGATCTGGGTTACAAAGGCTTTCTTACTGCACAAACACTGGTCACCCAAGGATGACTTCAGGTGAGCCTGTGTTTATGTTTCTGCCTTGAAGGATTTCAGGGACAGGGCCAAGCAAGCACAGTACCTGAAAAACATGGCCAGGTCCACTTGTGCACCACATATAAGAACAGAGGCATTCACTTTTTCTAAAACGAATAATAACAACTCAGCTCCATTCTGACCAAACAGGAAAATATATATTGCTTCAAATTTTACTGAAGCATGATTTTCAAATTTTTCAACCTACTCTTGATATGAAGGGCAATTAATCAGTAGGATCTGTTAAGTTTGGAATTTCTGTACACAGAGATTCAAAGAGGATAAGCACATATTTAAAAAGGGTGGCGTGGTTCATAAAGGCTGAGTTTCAATCCATATTAAGAATGTCCATAGTCAATAATGTATGAGATGAGAGTATTCTATGGTGTTATCCTTTGAAAACTAGTAATAGGCTAAGGAACTCAATTACAAGTGGTGCACCTAGGAAACATCAAGGATCAGAGGGCATGAAGTTCAGTCTAACAGGGAGAATGGAATCCAAAAGAGAGACCAGTTTAGAGGAAGGATATAAGAGCTGAGACTTATCACATATAAATGACTTCCTTTCTCATCAATCTAAATCTAATAATACCCAAAGATATAAGAACATGTTAAAATTGAAGGAGTAATGAATGCATTTGAAATTCTCAAAACGTACATAGTGTATTAGTCAGTATTTGTCATAACATTCTCACCCAGAGTCCCAGATAAGAGAGAGAGGGATATGGTTTGAGTGGGTCCTGCAGGTTCATGTGCTGGAAACAATGCTCAAAGTAACAGTGAATCTCCAACAGGGATTAGGTCATGAGGACTCTCGCTGTCATGAAAAATTGAGATGGTTTTGGTGGGTGTGGTCCTGATAATACAGGCAGGTTCAGCTCTCTCTTGCTTTCTTCCTCTCACCATGTGATGCTGTTCCCCATGTCACAGTGCAACAGCAGGGACCTCCCCAGATGCAGCCCCCTCATCTTGGGCGATCTAGCCTCCAGAAATGTGAGCCGAATACAATTCTTTTCAGTCTGTGGTTTTCTGTGAAAATGGCATCAAATATTTTAGTGTCTCTCTATTTATTGCAGATGCTTTTTAGACCTAATGTAGTAATCTGTGTCTTCATTAGAAAGATGCTGCTTCTTTGAGACTAAGACCATTTCACATTCTACTTTCTAGATTTCTTTATAATTTCTGTATTTATTAGAATTTCCGCCATAACAAATTGTCTTAAAACTTAGTGTTTTATAACAACAATCATTTATCAACTCACAATTCTTTAGGCCATCAAGTTGGCATGTGCTCTGCTGAGCTGCTCTTGTCTCAACTGGAATCAAGTTGACTAAAGGATGGCTAGACCAGGATGACCAAGCTTAGCCTATTCCTCCTCCATGCTGGCTCACTCCCAAAAGACAAGTGTAGACTGTAAACACATAGTGGTTGGAAAGGATCACAGTAAAATAAGTGGAAATATTTAAGATTTTTGCAGTATAGGCTCCAAACAAACACATCATTTCCACCACATTTCACTACATTCTGTACATCTAATGAAACACGTGAAACCAACATAAATTCAAGGGGAAGGGAAATAGATTCCGCTCCTGGATGGAAAGATTTGCAGTTATAATTGCCCTGGGATACAGAGATTTTTTTTTTTTTTTTGGTACCGGGGATTAAACTCGGGTCCTTGCACTTCCAAGGCAGGCAGAGGAACCACTGAGCTAAATCCTTGGCCCCAGAGATTCTTATTAGAATCACAGTCAAGTGTGCAATCTTTTATACATTCTCATTTTCTGTTTCCTTTTCCCAAGTACCTAAAGAATTTTCCTTAAAATGATGACCCGGTCCATGGCATTTCTCCATGAACCATCTGTTATTCTGCCTGCTTTCAGGATCTCCACACAGCCCTCTGTCACTGTCGCAAACTACCTGAGAATAACTTGGGTGAGGAAAAGTTTATTTTGGGTCACAGTCTTATATGTTTCAGTCCATGGTCCACTGACTATCACAGTGGGACTGTGGGGAGGCAGAATATCATAATGATGGGAGATAATGATGGAGGAAGGGGAGAGAGAGAGACAGAGAGAGACAAAGCCAGCAAAGAAGGGACTAAGGATAACGTATCCTTCAGTGTCCTGTTACATCCAATGAGGCCCATCCCTGCTAATAAGCCCACTGAACTATAGACTCATCAATGAATTAATCATCTGTTGAAGTTAAAGCCCTAATGATCCAATCACTTCCCCAAAGCTCCACCTCTGAACACTGTTGCATTGGTGACTAAGCTCTGAAACACATGTGTCTTGGAGGACATATAGCCAAACTGAGAACTATTTTCTCAGGTTCTTAACCTCTGTTCACCAAAACCCTTCACTTCCATGCTCCATCTGTTGCCTTGCCGTACCCTGGACTTTGCTGAAATTAAGTACATCTACTCTGAACAGGTTAGAAGGAAATACCCCATGGTCTTACATAATCTCAATTTTTGGGGTTCTTGTCCTTACCTAACCTTTGTTTATCAACATTAATGATACCACTAGGCCTTTGTTCCTGTTCACTGTGTATCACTGCCTTTTTATTTGCTTCTTATATTGCTTAAATTGTATGCTAAATCCATTTGCTCATTTTTCTGGCTATATCGTCACGTTTTTTCAAAAGTAAGTCTCAGTAATCTTGCAGTCCAGATGCTGCAAGATTACAGGTGATTACAGAACAATGGAAAAACCACACCCAACCCCCAGGAGGACATAAGAAAGAAACCTGGGCCTGCAAAGATAACTCCTACAATGGGATTTCTCCTGGCCCACTTTGCTGTTCACGTCTGCTGACTTCTGCCACTGAAGCTGCTATTCTTCTGGAGAATATGGAGTCCTTACATGTGTTCCTTGTTTATTATGGTATTTTAGCTCAGGCCAGGACATTAGCAAAGCAAGAGAAGATTAAGCATGTTTATAAAGCAACATAGAAAAGAACTCTTTCTTTCTTATGAGCTTTTGGCAAATCAACTTGAAACTACACAAGAAAAATGTGATACTTTCCACTCCACTGTCCAGAGCCTGCTACCATTTTGCTGTCCCCTCACCTACCTGGAGAGGGCTGAGAGAGCACAGTAAATCCCCTTGGGTATTTCCTGTGCCCATAGTCAGTTTTAGCTTCTTAGGAATAGAAGAACAAAATGTTAACAACCTATGAAAAAAGCATAAACATTGCAAATGAGTTTCAATTTATCAAGGCCAAGTGGTAAAATATGGCATTTTTTTAAAAGGGAAGAATGAGCCCCCAAGTTATGTTACTCATAAATGAAAGTGTTGACATGCTCCACTAGGTGAAAGTTTCTGATTACTCAAGTTCAAGCCCTCTTGAACATCTTTGTTCCCTCACTCTCTGATGTTAACTGCAACAAGAAGTTCATCTTTTAAAAACAAATATATTGTAAAAAAAAAAAAAAAAAAAAAAACCAAATACATTGTGTCTTTGTACCTCAAATTTTACAATTTTATTTTGATATTTCCATGCACAAATCAATTAAGACACAGGAGGACCCATTGGTTCACAAAGATGACTGTTTTTTCTAAGTCACAAAACTGATACATTTTCTGCTGAGAATTTGAACACAGATCTCCCAGTAGGAAAGACCAAAGTCAGCATATTAACAACTATCACATTGGAAACTAAAGTGAGCAAAATTAATTTAGGAATAAGCCAATCTACACATATGACAACCATTCTTCCCAATGTAATATATAAATGCATCTTCCATGTCTGTTTTACCTTCTCTATTGGGATACATTCCTTAAAATCACTCAACTTTTCAAGTAGATGCTAACATTTTTTAGGAGATGAATCTTGTGGCTTTTATTTGGCCACTGATACCACAACTGCACCTGTGATGAAAAAAGAGTCTTTAAGCTAGAAAAAATTTAGAAGGAAAGAAAGAAAGAATGACAGAAAAAAGGAGAGAAAGAAATTGAAATTTAGGGATAAAGCTTAGCACCAAGGCCCAGGACTCAGTCCCTAGTACCAGAAAAAAATTTTATATAAATTACATACGTAATTCTTATCACTTATAGTTATAGAGATTCCAGTCTATGATGGGATATGCTCATTGATTTTTGGCCAGTAATGACACAGCACATCATGGTAGGGAACATGTGATAGAGGAAACCACACACTTCAAGGTCACAAAGTAAAATAAGAGAGGGAAAGGAGGGAGCTTCAGTCTTATGATCTCCTTCAAAGGTACACACCTCAATAACCTAAAGATTCCTTAAAGGTTCCACCACCTCCCAATAGTGCCACCCTGAACACCAAGCTTGGTCTGTAACACATGGGTCTTTGGAGGACATTTAATATCCAAACTATAACACCAGTCATGAACTAATTTTTAATTAAAATACATTTGCTGGCATCCTAGCCACAACCACTCAAGCCTGTTCTGTGTTTTGTTTCCCCTTCCACACTGGACAGCAGAGCCATTGACCAACCAACTGCCCTGATAGTGGATGAGGCCAATGATACAGGACAGCAAGTAAGCCCCAGGGAGAAATAATGGACCTAGCCAACAGCTCTGCCCCCCCCCAAGCCCACAGCTATTATAAACTGCAAATACAGCATGGGCTTTTACTCTTTCATGGCAGACTAGAATTGAAGAAAGCCAGTGCCAAGGCTCCAATCTGTCCTGCTGCAGATGTCTACCTACGCAGACCGTTTTTTCCATTTTGCCTGTGATGCTTCGACTATGCTTTGGTATAGGCTTCCTGTTATAGAGCCTCAATGAGCATATCTCTGAGAACAGTGACTGGCCCAACAAGATGTTCTAGAGAGAAATAATGATGAGAGGCAGTCTTCTGGAAACTGGGGCTATTCCTATTCTTTAATATCAATTTGTTTAAAACTGTTATTAAACTCATAAAGTTCCCTAGGATTCTTTCATTTTATCAATGAACTTTCCTGTTATAAAAATCAGTCAGTGCACCCAGTGCTATAAAAACTATAAAAAATGAAATTAGAAATAATTTCTCAGATAACAGGAGAAATTGTGCTCCTACTGCAAGACATGATTAATAAATCTAGAGAGGAGCTCAGGAACATGATGGAATCACGACAGAGGAAACAAATGGAATCCATAAAACAGATGCAAATAGATTTCCAGGACATGAAAAACTCCACTGAAAGTCTACACAGCAGAATGAGCCAATGTGAGGACAGAATTTCAGATATAGAAGATAAGATTGCAATTAATGACCAGGAAAAGAAAAATTGTTTCAAAACTGGAAGGGAACATGAGAAATCAATCCAGCAGCTGCTAGATGATGCAAAGAAGAATAACATAAGACTGATTGGAGTCAATGAAGAAACAGGAGAGAGTGCAGATGACAAAAAAACTCTTTGCAGAAGTAATGGCAGAAAACTTCCCAAGCAGGGGAAAAGAACTTAACATACCCATAAGTGAGGCATATAGGACTCCAAATAGCCTTGATCAAAAACAATCTACACATAGGCATATAATGTTAAGATTCCAGAAACACAACAGAAGAACAAAGTTCTACAAGCAGTCAGAGAAAAGAAACTAACACACAAAGGAAAGCCCATCAGAATCACAGGAGAGTTCTCCACACAAATCATCAAGGCAAGAAGAGCTTGGGGTGACATATTCCAAGCCCTAAAAGAAAACAGCCTCCAACCCAGATTGATGTACCCTGCAAAACTATCTTTCAAAATGGATGGAGAAATAAGATACTTTCATGACAAAGAGCACCTTAGGAACTTTGTGAATACCAAACCAGCACTCCAAAGAATTTTACACAATATCCTAGGAACAGACATTGAGAATCACAACCCCAGGAAGCAAAGCAGAATGAACCCATCTGGCATGACAAGAAATTAAATGTAAAGGCAGAGAACCCAACAAAAAAAAAACCAATCTAGAAGTCACAGAGGAGAGAATTGCCTTGGACTAAATGCTGTTGCAAACTGTGTTATTTCCCAAGTGGAGAAGGGACAGAATAGTGACCCTAAGTATGGGACAAGAACTAAATCTTAACCATCTCAGGTGCAGAAAGAAAATTAAGATCAAGCGCTTTTCCAGAGTAGATCTCTAATCCTTAGCAAAACATGCCTCCAGAAACAAAAGCTATGGTTGACTCTAACTGCATTGTCAAACAGAAAAACCAGTAATGAAAGAAAGTGAATAGGTGTTTTCTTACCCTCTTGAAAGAGAGTGAGAGAGAAAAATGAAAGTACTTTAACTATATTGTTTAGGGCTTACTTTGTAAGAAATGACTGAGTCAAAAGAGATCTATCATCCCTGGGTAGAGAGACAGGTAACAGTCCAGAAGAAATCTCAGCTCTAGGACATTTTGGGCTCTCTAGTCACATAGTTACTTTCTTCTGTAGCAGTGTTGGCTAGGCTCAACTTAAACTCACTTTGAAATATGTATCTCCAGGTATCTATGATACACTTGAAAAACTCATAGATTAAAATCTGTAACCATTGTCTCTCACTGGAAGTCAATGTTTGATTTAAGTGCAATATTACATCCTTCTAGTCTAGTTCATAAGCCTGAGTAAGTCCTCTGAATACCTCAATGTACTTATTAGGGTTGTCTGAAAACTTTCCTAAGTCTCATTTGATCTGTCTTGGGTCACTGAGAGGAAAGGACATATGAACACAGGCATAGCTTATAATTATATTTTGAATGCAAATAAAAATTATTTCTTAATGTAAAGAAAGTCTGAATATAAGGTAATTATGATTATTTCCCCTTCTTTCTTACAAAATAATTCTAGTTGCAAAATACTATAATCATTTCTTCCCTCTGCATTATATTTTGGGTCTAGGGGAGGTAGGCCATCCACAGGTTCAGAAAAATATTAAATGGTTCTTTTTCAACATGTGAGGTTCAAACATTTTCCAGTGCTTAAGAATACATTCCAAAGAAGAAAAAGATTTTGACACTGAGCTCCCAAAAGATATCCTAAGGAAAGTACAGTATCATTTTAATTTCTACTTGATTTCTAAATTATCAAGGCATCCCCTGAGTTGACTCCACACCAAGCCAGGTGGCTGCAGTTTGCAGAGCACCCAGAAGAAAGTTTGGGCCAGACTATCCACCCACTTACTGGCACACAGCCCTATCTTCTCTGGGAACTAGTGTTTTACTCCAGCAGTAATATAATTGATATAATATTATATATTATATATTGATATATATAGATATATTATAATTTATTTTAGCCAGAAAAGTCATGTCTTAAAGAAGGAAGCATTCTTAGAAAACCAATAATCAAGAGATCTAAACTACCGTTTTCTAAATTTTTTGAAAGAGAAAACATCAAAGGGCAAGTTGGAAATAGTTGCAGTACTTCTCAGCTTGTAAAAGAGATCACCTCTAGAGAGAGAATGAGTAAGGTAAAGTGGCTCAGAGAAATCTTGTCCTGGGCCCTAGGGTGAAGAAGCCTCTAAGACATTCCTGTTATCTGCCTAATCACCTAGGCAACCTTTCTTAACAACAAGACAAGGATACGCTATATTCAGGGTTTAATCTAAAATTTCTATGTCTCTAAAGCTCACAGGTTAAACTTATACTCATTGCCTAGCAACTACAATTCATGTTAGTAAAGGCAAATTTATCAGTTTTCACAATAACTTGTAAACAAATGTGTACAGCAGTGTTACTAACATTACCCAAACAAAAAGAAACCTCAGCTTCTTCACCCAATGAATAGATGAACAGTACAGAATCCAATGGTGATCACTTGACAACAGAAAGAAATGAGTCACTGCTGCTTGCTATGACACATGTGAACCCAGAAAACATTATTCTCAGTGTCAGAACTCAGCCATTAAGGTCTAAATGTTGTGTCACTCTGTATGACATCCCTAGAACAGGGAAATTGCAAAAAAAAAAAAAAAACAGGTTGGTGGTTTCCTAGGACTGGGTTGACAGCTAAAGGATTCAGGGTTTCCTTTTAATGTGATAAAAATGTTCTAAAACCAACTGTGGTGATGGTTATGCAGCTGTGAAGACACTGAATTTTACACTTTAAACTGGAGGTCCCTTATTTCTCAATAAAGTTGTATTTAATAAAATTCAATAGCAAAGCCTAGATAATCTTCTTCCCTTTTTGGACATAAATACTATATATGACCTGAATATCTCTATGTTTTAACAGTATGCCTAAAATAAATGCCTTGATTTTTAAAAAATACTTTGAAATTTACCTAAGCCAATTGTATTTTGGAGAAAACTAAAATGGGTTTTCTGTGCACATTATATTGAAATTTGTGGAATATACTTACAGAGATCTGGAGCTGGGGATGTCGCTGAGCAATAGAGAACTTATTTAGTATGAATCAGGATCCAAGTTTGATTCCAAACACAAAAAACCAAACCAAAGCTTCTGGCTGACCACACAGCTCAGAGCCCTTGGCTAGGTGTTTTGTGTCTTCAAAGCTATTTTTTTTAAATTAAGTGTGTTTCTTGCATGCAGCATATTATTGGATCTTGCTTCTTGACCCATTCTGTGAGTCTATTTCTTTTGATTGGTGAATTAAGACCATTAACATTGATGGATACAACTGATATGTATTGACTTGTCATGATTTTTTCTTTTTGTTGCATTCTCCCCTTTGCATTTAATTTGTTGTGCCTGATGGATTCATTCTGCTGGGCTTCCTGGAGTTGTGATCCTCACTGTCTTCTCCTAGGATATTGTTTAAAATTTTTTGGAGTGCTGGTTTGGTATTCATGAAGTTCCTAGGTGCTCTTTGTCTTGAAAGTATCTTACTTCTCCATCAATTTTGAAAGATACCTCAAAGAACTGAGATTAGAGGTCCCATTTCACCCAGCTATTTCCCTACTGGGTATCTTCCCAATAGAATTAAAAGAATCATATCACAGTGCTATATATGTGCACCCATGTTCATAGCAGCCCAGTTTGTAATAGCTAAAACTTGGAAACAGCCCAATTGGCCATCAACTGGAGATTGGATAAAGAAAATGTTTTTTATAAAATGAAGTACTACCCAGCCATAAAGAATGAGAAAATTGAGACATTTATAGCTCAATGGATGCACATTGAGGAGATACTCTTAAGTGAAATAAATGGGACAGGCATGTGTAAAAGCCAAATAGTTTCTCTGGTGTGAGAAACTGAAAGTGTAAATAAGGATCAAAAGGCACAATAGATACTGTGAAATAGGAAGAAAAGGTCCAAAGGTGAAGGGAAGTGGGAGGAGTAGGGAACAGGAAAGAAGGGAATGGAATTAATATGAGAAAATGAAAAAATGGAAACAAACAAAAATCTTTGTAAATAGGGAGGGGTGGAGGGTTTGAAGGGAGGGCAGGGGAATGGGGAAAAAATAAGAACCAAGAGAGATTATGTAAAGGTGCAAATTTTCAATGATTAATGTCATTATATAGTATACCTAGAAAGTACCAATAAAAAATTTTTAAAAGCCATTTGTGCTGAAATAGCAAAAAGTGAGGAATTGTCCCTGTGGAGCACGATCCCATAGGTAGATGTGGACAGGGAAGCCCTGCACTTCTTCCTCCCTGTCCTGTCCCCTGCAGCCTGGCTCTCCACAACTGCCTCTCACCAGGCCCTCTCCTCTACTTACTCACAGCAGCCTGATCCTAGGTCTCTCCTTTAGAAACTGATTTCTGGCTCCCTTTGTATGAGGGAGATTTCAATTTGGCTGGTGGTGTGTGGCCTGTGGGCTCCTTCCAAGCAGTGATTCGATTTTAAAATCCCAACAGTAGATACCTCAGTACATCTTCTCTTCAAAAACATGGAATGATTGCATATCAGAGGCACCTCTCTTACTTTAGCTTCTGTTCATCCATGAACTCATTGGTCCTGCTCTGGTTCCATGTGGGGTCTGTGCTCCATGCATTCAGGCTCGGCTGTGCAGGGGACATGGGAGTCCAGGTGCCAGAACAACACGGTGCTATCACCTTGATCATTCAGTCCCTGCTCATAGAGTTGAAGCTTATGAAGTTCACCAGCAGCACACCTGTCAGTGCCTGGGTGGATGGTGGCA